TTTTTTTTTAAGAATCCTGTATTGAGAAAAGCTCCAAGGCCACATCTGTGTCCATCAGGAAGAAAGCTAAAATAATTTAATAATGTCTCCCATAACATAGGAGAAGAGATGGGACAATCTGTATACCATGGATTTGTTATCTACCATGAATTTGAGGATGGCAGGAAAAGGCTCTTCATTGCTCAGTAACAAGCTAGCAATAAATATATTGTTTTTTTGTTTGTTTTATTGTCTATGAGTAATCTATTTCAATTAAATTTAAGTAAATTAGGATCATTCTTCTGTAACCTGTAACTGTCTCTTGGATTAAAAGTAATGTCTTGTTTTAAAAGGAAACGGATAACAGTGAAGATGAGGACATTGTTGGACCAATGCCTGCAAAGGGACCTGTTAACTATAGTGTGACAACAGAGTTTGAAAAAAGGGCCCAGAGAATGAAAGACAGACTAACTAAAGGAGATGATGTAAGTTTTTTTTTTAAGACACTCTAAGAAATAAACTAAATTGACTGAAAAGATCTAAATGTTAGAAATAAACATCAAAATATATACATATGTATTTAATATATACATACATGTTAATGTTTATTTTTAAAATTTAGAGATATGTATACTTATTTTCAAGTTTTGCATATATATGTTCATTGTCTTTTGTTTTTGGAGACAGGGTCTCACTATGTAGTTCAGGCTGGCCCTGAACTCACTATGTAGCCCAGGCTGGCCTTGAACTTGTGACAATCCTCCTGCCTCAGCCTCCCAAGTGCTGGGATTACAGGCGGGCACCACCACACATGGTTTATATATGTACACATATACCATACATATTAATTTAGGAGCTATATAATCCAGAAACTGTAAAGGAAAAGATTGGCAGATTTGTCCATATTTTATAAAAATATTCTGTATGGCAAAACATAAAACAATTAACAAATTGGCTAAAAGTATATGGCAGCTATATACTACAGAAACATCAATCCTTTCTGTTAAAATTTATTAAGTAAATTTAAGACCTCAATTGAAAAATATAATTGTTTGTACAATATTTATTTATCTATTTATATATAGTATGTATATCTGTATATGTATTTTACATTTTTTATTTCTATTAAAGGATTCATCTAAACCAATTACAAGAGAATCATGGATGACTGAACTTCCTCCAGAAATGAAAGACTTTGGTCTTGGGCCAAGAACCTTTAAAAGAAGAGCTGATGATAAATCTGGAGATCGATCAGTCTGGACAGATACTCCAGCTGACCGGGAAAGGAAGGCTAAGGTGTTTTTTCATATGCTTTTGTCTGCATTGGCTCCATTTTGAAAAAATAGAGGGCAAAATTATTGGGGCCAGGGATTTAGCTCAGTAGCGCTGTGCCTGCCTTGCAAGTACAAGATCCTGAGTTCAATCCCCAGTAACCCCCCAAAAAAAGCAAAATTATTTAAAGATACTAATTTTTGAAATTATTTTTCCAAAGGAAAACTGCAGACCCCCCCCCAGCAGGAAAGTCACACTATTTGTCTACTATTTTCCCATAAATGACCTCATTTAAACCTCAAGGAAGCCCTAAGATTTAGGTTTACTGACCTCTTTTTATTTTTTGTTAGTACATGTTTGTAATGCATAGTGTTTACTTGTGTGGAGTTGGTACATTACACAGCACATCTTAATTCCTTTTTTATCCAGAAACTAATCACTATGAGATCAATTTTTTTTGCATCACAGAGCTAATAAATGATAGGCAAAATTCTGTTTTATTCTTTCTAACTCCACATTGCCTAGTCCTTATACAACATTATACTATTTACCCGAAAGTATACCTTTTAAAATATCTTGGAAAAAACATTTTGCAGATTTACCTAGCAAATTGAATAATACCTAAAGAATCTCTCAAAGTGAGTATCTTAGGTACACTAAATTTCATGATACTGTAAAGATAGACAAGAAGTACCTTCATTAATACATTAAATAAATTACCAAAAATAATTACAAAATGTCTATATGCATAAATTTTTTTATTTTTCTCCTCTTGAGTCTTTATTTTTAAATATTCTGGTGTATGTTAGGAATGGAACCAGTGTCCCCAGCACTACCTAAATTTGCTCCATTTAAAGCTTTTCATTCCTACAGGATGTCAATTTATGATTACAACTTCAATTCTGATCTAAACAGTTCCACGCTTAATTCTTCATGCTCACTCTATCTTGTTTGTCAGTTCCTAGAGTTCTCAGGGTTTTCATTTTTATTCCGTAACTATAAAATGAATTCTTTTTTTGTTTTGTTTTGTTTTTGGTACCAGGATCAAACCTGGGACCTTGTGCTTGCGAGGCAGGCAGTGGAAACACTCAGCTAAATCCCTGGCCCTCATAAAATGAATTATTGTTCTTCCAGTTATTATATTTGGTTATGGGTGAGGTGAAAGAGCTCTTTAAGGAGTTTTCATTTTGGTGGAGAGTTGAATGTGAGATAGTATCATTTTTAAAACATCGACAGTATAATGAAGTCTACATTTTAGCACCCTTCATGCATATTCAGCAAGATAATAAATTCTCTTTTACCCCAAAGATTAAAGGACATCTTCGAATTGTAGTTGAAAGTTGAGGTCAAGTAATACATGAAGGCAGAAGAAACAACGAAGGATATGGTATATACATAAGCCACAGACATTGAAGGCTAGTTTTAGTGTATCCTTTCTTTGCTTGATTTTTGTAATAATGATATATTCAGGGTATGTATTTTTATACTAATGATATGTCTCAGTCACTTTCTTTGTTACTGGGACTTAGTACCTGACACCAACAAATTAAATAAGGAGAGGTTTATTTTAACTCATGTTTAGAAGTTTCAGTCCTTGCATAATTGGCTGGCTCCAGGCAGAAGCAGCATGGTAGAAGTATCTGGAGAAGAAAAGCTGTTGCTAGCATGGCCCCAGAGAAGCAGAGAACAACTCAAGAAAAGAACTGGGAAGAGAGATATACCCCTACCAGTCTTGCACACACTGACCTTCCTCTTCTCCCCAGACCACATCTTCTAATAGCAAGTTAACTGTAAAGCCCGCTAATCTTAGGATTTTCTTTTTTTTTTTTTTTTTTTTTGGTACCAGGGATCAAGCTCAGGTCCTTTTGCTTGCGAGGTAGGCAGGGAATCACTGAACTAAATCCCCAGCCCATGTTATGCCCCATTAATCTAATCACCCTCCAAAAACACATGAGGCTTTACGGACCATTTTAGATCTAAACCATAACATATTACAGTTTTTGTAATTCAGTCTTTTAGGATTGTCTCCAAAAAGACAATTACCTTGCTTACATAGACTTTTAAATTTGAGTGTCTTGTAGTTGTTTTGCTTCTCACTATAGGTCAATATAGATGACTACCCTACAGCTATAATCAGGGAATCGACCTCAGAGGAAAATACAATTTTTAAAAGGCACAAATGAAAACCAGGAAATACAGTTTGAAGTTAAGTCATTTTAATCCCTGTGACTGAGATCTTTACAACTGGTTGTTCTTCTTAGTGCTGAAATTTTTTTGCTCTGTGCTAACAGTGGACTTATTAGGGGATATTAATACCTCTTAAGTTTTATGTAATTCTGTATTACAGTGTATAGTACCAACGAACATGTCAGAAATGATATAGCATCATAGAGCTATTCAATATCTGGTGTCTTTGCTCCTTTGTAAAGTTCGTATCTAATTTTCATAACATTTCTTAGCTGGATTTCCTTCTTAATATGTTTTTCCACTCTTATCTTTTTATATTTGATTTCCCAGCATAATTCTCATAGTCATACCTCTCTTATACCTCTCATATTCCCTTAGTCAATATGGCCTAAAAGAAATGATTGTTTAAAAAAAGAAAAAGAATTGATTGTTAGAAAGAAATGAAAAAGTTTTACATAAGTTAGTTGAATGAATTCTATGTGTCCTAACCTCTAAGTCTTGACAAGATCTAATAGTACATTATAAAAGGTCAGGTTTATATCTCCATTTTAACATAACATCATTTTTCTCTTAATATTTACAAGTAAAAACATTCTTTGAGAAAAATTATATGGAAAATTAAAAATGAACTACAATGATTTTAACATACTTTATTAAATACTAGTTTTAGTCCATATTAAGATAAAAATTATCATGAAGGCCTCCTTAGATTTCCTAATCAAGTAACAACATAAAAATATACCTTGAAAACAGTGGTTTTTCAGTCATTTTATGTGGAACTTTCTCATTTTATATTCTGTAAAATATCATTGTAACATTTTTTTCTGATTACAATTCATTGAAAGTTTTCCTATTTCATTTTTGTATGCATGCTATTATAAATGGAATCTTTGCTTTGCTTTGTTTCAAATTCCAGTTGTCTATTGCTGATATATTTTGTGTATTTATGTTGTATCATGCAGCTTTGCTGTACTTGCTTATAAGTTTCAAGATAGATTGGGGTTTTCTACATAAAACATCATATCATCTGTGAATAAAGACAGTTGGTTTTTTGTTTTTGTGTTTTCATGTGATGATTTAACTCAAGGCCTTCACACTATGCAACATCCCCAGCCCATGAAGCAGCAAGATCAAAAGTTTGAGCTTATCCTGGACAGTTGACTTAGTGAGACCCTGTCTCAAAATGGAAAAAAAAAAATTGAAGAGCTGAGGATATAGCTCTGAAAAGCCCTGGGTTCAATCCCCAGAACCATACACAGGAAACAAAAGGAAAAATTCTTTTTTAACAAATCTTTTATTTCTTTTTTCCTTTTCACTGTTTTTGAAAACAAATAAGGGTTTCTTATAAACTGCATTTTCCCTCCTATATTTCATCATTGTTAGTCAAAACTCAGATCCTAAGTTCAATAAATAGGTAAGTGCTTGCAGTTGATTGATTAGATAAAGTTTTTATTTTGATTTATTTTCAAGAAAATCATAGGCTAAAGCACTAACTGACTCCTTATTGAGAATGTAAATGTTCTGCCAGGGATTTAGCTTAGTGGTTCCTCCACCTGCCTCACAAGTGCAAGGTCCCAAGTTCAATCCCTGGTTCCAAAAAAATAAAAAATGAAAAATAAATGTTCTGACAGAAGGTATTTAATAAGCCTGATGTAGTTTGGTTTCTTGTTAAGTAATCTAAGTAAAAAATAATATTTCTTTTTATTTTATCATAATTGTATGCTTCAGTGATGTGTTATCTGTGTTCATTTCTCAGGAAACACAAGAAACAAAGAAGTTGTTCAATAAGGATGAGGAATATACATTTTCAGGAAGAGATAAGAGATTGGCTGAGCAGGTGTCCTTATACAATGTAAGAAAATAAAATATGTAATCTTTTTTTTTTTTTTTCACTTCTCATCTCCTTTTTTGTTTTCTTATTTTTCTTTTCTTTGACCACCTGTTTGCCTCAGATATTTTCTATACATAAGTCCTGAAATATGGATGACTCTGTTGTGTGTGTTTGTATATGTGTGCCTATATATTTATAATATTCTGTGCATGTGATATGTTTTCAGTTTGTTTTGCCTGTCATACATTAGAAATTCAGATATTAGAGATTAGTAGCACTTGATCAGAAAGCAAGCGCTCTTACACTTTTCTTTTTTTTTTCCTTGGTACTGAGGATTAAACTCGGGTCCTTGCACTTGCAAGGCAGGCGGTAGAACCACTGAGCTAAATCCCCAGCCAGAAAGCAAGAGCTCTGTTAACTCATTAATGTATGTCTTTCTGTATGAAATACGATGCTGCCCCTCCCCCTGCATTTCTTATTGTCTTGTTTGATGTTCACTGAGCTCTCTTTTTTCCTTTGTTCTCCAGTATATTCTTTGACATAGGCCGGGCTTTGAGGAGAAGTAGATGTTAAGGAAAAATTGTTCTTTCTTCCATTGCCACATACATCAATATATCTGATTTTAGAACATTCTAAAAGCTAAAATATTTATCTCTAAAGGACACTACACTCTTTTGAGAAATATGTTCAAGACATAGAATGATACAAAGCCCTTCTGGGTTTACTGTGAATTGATTAGAGGAAGTTTTGTTCATGCCAGCTTTTTACATTTTTCTTTTAGGTGCTCATGAGATTTTTGCCCTCCCAGACACTATTCTATAGTATCTACAACTGTAAAGAAAGACAAGGCACGTTTACAAGATGCTTTTCAGGAAAATCAGTTTTAAGAAAGATTACATGAAAATTTAAGAATCATAGATAGGTAAACCCTAAAATTACCCAAACCTTCGTACCCCATGGAAAGGCTGCTGGTCTGCACTACTACTCTATCCACCTCTGCTTCTTCAATCCCAGGCTCAGAAGTTTGTAATGAATCTTCAATTTATTTTTTTCAATAGGTTTTCCCTATCTAATTCAGGCTGGCCTTGAGCTCACTATGTAGCCAAGGCTGGCCTCAGATCCTTCTGCCTCAACCTCCCAATGCTGGGATTACAAGTGTATATCACCATGTCTGGCTGAATTTCCAATAAAACTGATTTCCTTTACTTAGACTTTGTCTTACTGGATCTATCTGAAAATGTAAATATCTACCCTAGCTAAAAACAAAGGAAAAATTAGAGGGGTAAGAGAAAAAAGAGAAAATTGAATGGACAAAAATTTCTCTTAGCTTAAGGAGCATGCCAACATCACCTGCACAGTCCCTGAGTTTTGCCACTCTATTCTTGTTCTCCTTTTTTTCGCTTTTGTTTTGGCTGCATCCTGTCAGTGCCTTCCCTTCAGTACATCATTTAAGCTTCAGGAACTAGTCCACCCATGAAGTGAGAGTATAATGACTCTTCTTTTTACACCCATGTGCTTGGTTTGTACTGTTTGTCTGTTTGTTTATTTGTTCATTGTTTGTTCATTTGTTAATTTGTTTTTGCAATGCATTGAATCCAGGGCCTTGAACATGCTGGGCAAGTGCTCTACCCTTGAGCCATATTCCCATCCCCTGGTTTGTAATTTTAATTGTTAGTGTTTGAGTAACTGGAATGATTTTCATTATGATTACCTGAATATTTATTTCTTCTTTAGTTTTTAATGTATGGCATGTGGTTCATAGATATCTTTATTTTGATTGAATTTGCCTCGATATATGTTCTTTTTATAGATGCTGTCTTGAATTTGGAAAAGCCTGTTGGGGTTTGTAAATAGCTCTCTTTACTGTTCATTGTTGTCTATTTTCTGCTTCATGATCATATTCTATCAATAATCTATACAAGTTAAGGTATTTGTTCCTGCTCTTCTTTTTTCCAGGAATCAAAAAGATCAGAATCTCTTATGGATATTCATCATAAAAAATTAAAGAGTAAGGCCACTGAAGATAAAAATAAGCCCCAAGAGAGAATACCATTTGACCGTGATAAGGATCTCAAGGTTAATCGATTTGATGATGCTCAGAAAAAAGCCCTAATAAAGAAATCTAGAGAACTGAACACCAGATTTTCACATGGCAAAGGCAATATGTTTTTATAAGTAAGTATATGTCAGTGAGGTATATTTTCATACTCATCCATTTGAGCCTTTCTGAATACACTATTGTCTATAATAATTATATACTAAAATATTTCCTTTTATAATAAAGTAAATTATGAGCCTGCATTTTTTTTTAAATAAGTGAACTGGGATTATTGAAAAGTCAGCTTTGTGCGATTTTAAAAAAATGTGGTTGACTAAAGAAATATCCTTGCCTTCATAATAATCTAAAAGGGCATTGCTATAAAAATTTTAAAATAAAAGTTTCATTTAAGAGAAATAGCAAAATGTGGTTTGAAGATTGAATATACATACTATATTAAAGAATGAAGGAAGGAGGTTTGCTAGTAGTTTGGGTTTTTTTGTTGTTTTTTTGTTTTTTTTTAACAATATCACAGTTATAATAATGTTCATTTCTTTGGAAAGACCTCTTAAGTTTTGTTTAAATCATTACACTTTTCAGCAATAGCCCAATCTGACAAGGGTTTGTATTAGTGATTAAGGAATTGTAGAAGAGCTTAGATTTCTTCTTAAAATATTTGTGATTTTTATTTGTATGAAACCTTCATCAGTCTTCAAATATGACTTTAAAAGAAAATATAGTCACAGTTAGAAATGTTTTCCAACTTACTGAATTCTCTTATTCTTACCTCAGGGGATTATCATATACAGTCAAGAAAAGTTAAAGAAAACTCTTTTATCTCTCTGTCTACCTTTCTATCTTTGTTCTGTACTTAATATTAGGAGATAATTTTTTTATTTTCATTACTACATGTTTGCAGTGCATAATAATTACATTTATAATGGGGAGTTGGTACATGTACATATCACATTTTTATATTCCCTTCCCCTCATCTCCCTCCATCTCTTGATCCTCTTTTCATTGCAAAAGATATATCTTCTCTGTTTCCTATTATCCATCTTTTATTTTCTTCTTTATATTATTTATACTTTGGGTTTCTCATATAAGGGAAACCTTGCAGTATTTAAGCTTGTGTGTCTAATTTATTTCACTTAACCTTACAGTCCCAAGATACATTCATTTTCCTACAGGCAACTCACATGTATCCTTCATTATGGCAGAGTAATACTCCATTGTGTATCTATTCATCTGTTGCTGGACATACAGCCTTGCTTTCAAGATTTAGCTATTCTGAGTTGTACACTTGGGCATGCATGTACACTGTAGTAGTTTAGTTCTTTGAGGAAGACACCTAGGAGAATAGCTGGGTCCAAAGGAATTTCTATTTTTAGTTTTTGAAAAATCTCCATACTGATTTCTATAGTGGTTGTTCTAGTTTATGCTCCCACCAACAATTTAGAAGAGTTTCTTTTTTCTCCACTGCATTGGCAGCATTTGTTGTTTGATTTCTTGGTGATGGCCATTCTTTCCAAAGTAAGGTAGAATCTGTGTTATTTTAATTTGCATTTCTCTAATGGCTAGAGATGAGCATTTTGTTATGTATTGGCCATTTATACTTCTGAGAAGTGTCTTTTCATTTCAGTTGCCTGTTTCTTGTTGGGTCATTTATTTTGTGAGGTCTAATATTTTTGTTTCTTTTCTCTTCTTTTCTTTTCTTTTTTTTTTTTTTTTTCTTGTACTGGAGATCGAACTCAGAACCTTGCGTTTGCCAGGCAGATGCTGTGCCGCTGAACTAAATCCCCAGCCCATTTTTGTTTCTTTATATAGTCTAGATATTAGTCTTTTGTATGAGGACTAGCTGGCAAAAAATTTGTCCTGCTCTGTTGGTTGTGTGTTACTTAATTTGACATGATACAATCTGTTGATACTGTTTGGGTTCTATTCAGAAAGTCTTTGCCAGCAGGGTGTGGTGGCACACACCTGTAATCCCAGCACTTGGGAGGCTGAGGCAGGAGGATCACTGTGAGTTCAAGACCAGCCTGGGCTACATAGTGAGTTCCAGGTGAGTTTCAACTGCATAGTGAGACCCTGTGTCAAAAAAAAAACCAGAAAAACAAACAAAGTCTTTGCCTGTGCCTTTGTTGACAAGAGTTTTACCTGTTATATCTCTGAGCAGATCGTTTCTGTTTTACTATATTTAGATCTTTGGTAATTTTTATTTTTATTACATGGTGAGAGATACGGGGTCTAAGATTCAATATTCTGCACATGTATAGCCAGTTTTCCCAGCACCATTTGATAAATAAGCTGTCTTTCCTTCACCATGTATTTGGCCCCTTTTACAAAGATCAGATGACTGAGTATCAGTTTTGGTAGTGTGGCTTTTTTTATAATATTGGTTCTGCATATCCAGCAACAGGAGCTGTCTTTCCACTTTCTGATATCCTCTTTATCTCTTTTTTCAGAGTACTATAGTTTTTATTATATAGGACTTTCACTTCCTTTGTTAATTCCTAAGTATTTGATTTTTCTTGAAACTTGTGATATTTTTCTGATTTCTTTCTCATTGGTATAAAGGAACACTGTTGATTTTTGTGTGATAATTTTGTATACTGCTACCTTGCTGAATCTGTATTAGTTCTAGCTGTCTTCTAGTGAAATTTTGTGGATCTATGTAAAACAGGATCATGTCATCTATGAAAAAAGATAGTTTGACTTCTCTCCATATAGATAGATAGATAGATAGATAGATAGATAGATAGATAGATAGATAAATAGATAGATAGATAGATCCCTTTTATTTCTGTCTCATTTGATTGCTCTGGCTAAAGTTCCAGGTATTCAACAAGAGTGGTAATAATGGACATACAGTTGTCTTGTTTCTGATTTTAAAGGAAAAGCTTTCAGTATTTCCCCATTTAATAAGTTGTTGGCATAAATGTTACTCATAGTTATCAGTTTGAGATTGGATGCTTCTATACCTATTTTCTTCAGAATTTTTATCATGAGCAGATGTTGGTTTTTGTCAAAGGCTTTTTCAGTGACTATGAGATGATAATAGGATTTTTGTTCTTGATTCTGTTTATGTGGTGTATTAACATTTGTTGATTTGCACATACTGAAGCATCCTTGCATCCCTGGAATGAAACCTACTTGTTCATAATTTATGACCTTTTTAATAATTTGTTGCATTGTTTGCCAGTTTCTTGTGGATAATCTTTGAATCTGTGTTCTTTAAAGGGATTGGTCTGTGGTTTTCTTTTTCAGTTGAATACTTTTCCAGCTTTGTAATCAAAGTAATGGTACCTTCTAGAAATGAGTTTTGCATTACTCCTTCCAATTTCATTGGAGAGAGAGCTTGAGAAGTATTGACATTAGATCTTCCCTGAAGTTCTTGTAGAATTCAGTGTTGAATCTATCAGTTCCTGGGCTTTTCCTAGTTAATAGGTTTTTTTTTTATTACTACCTCAATTTGAATGCCTCTTACTGGATTTTGCAGAGTTTCTATGTCTTCTTGGTTCAGTTTTAGTAATTCATATGTATCTAGGAACTTACTCATTTCTTCTGGATTCTCAGATTTCTTGGAGTATAGGTTTTTGAAGTAGTTACTATTAATCTGGGTATCAGTGATATCCACTGTGATTTTACCTTTTTCATTTCTAATTGTATTGCTGTGGGTCTTCTTTCTTTTTTTGGTAAGATTGGCTAAGGGTTTATCTATTTTGTTTATTCTTTTGAAGAACCACCTCTTGATTCATTGATTCTTTATATTCTCTGATCTCAATTTCATTCATTTCTGCTTTGATTCTTATAATTTCCTTGTATTAACTTTAGGTTTGGGTTATTCTTGTTTTTCTAGAACCTTGCAGTGGACAATTGGGTTATTTATTTGACCTTGCTGTATTTTTATGATATCAGCATTCACAGCTACAAATTTCTCCTTTAGGACTGCTTAAATTGTGTCCATAGGTTCTTGTACGTTACTGTGGTATTATCATTTGATTCTAGAAACTGTCTCATTTCTTCCTTTATTTCTTCTGTGATCCATTGATTATTAAAGAAGGTAGTGTTTAATCTTCCTGTGTTTGCATAACTTCTGTTTCTTTTGCCTTTGGTTTCTAGTTGCACTACCATCTGATACTATGCATGGTGTAATTTCAATTATGTTGCATTTATTTAAGCATGCTTTATGGGCTGTGTGATCTATTTTGGGAAAAGTTCCATGGGCTGCTAAGAAGAATGTGTACCCTTTTGTATTGGGTAAAATACTCTGTAGATATCTATTAAATCATTTGTTTAAGGTATGGCGCAACTCTGCTATTTCTTCATTGATTTTTTTTCCTCTGGTTGATCTATTTGTGGTAGTGGGATATTAGGGTCTCCTACTATAATTGTATTGTTGTATATCTGATCATTTATGTCCAGTGGTGTTTATCAAGTAGGGTGCACTAGTGCTCAGTGCATATATATTTATACTTGTCATCACTTCCTGTTGAATTGTTCCCTTAACCAATAGGTAGTGACCATTTCTGCTTCTCAGTTTTGGCTTGAAGTCCAGTTTGTCTGAAAATAGGATAATTACTTCTGCTTGATTTTAGGCTCCCATTTCATGGGCTATATTTTCTATCCTTTGATTTTTAGTCTATGAATTTTTTTCAGACTAAATGTGTTTCGTGTATATAGCATAACATTGGATTTTGTTTCTTTATTGAATCTACCAATCTATGTCCTTTAATTGGGGAGTTGGGACCCTTTACCTTGAGTGTTATTACTGAAAGGTATTGATTTATTCCTGTCAGTACATCATTTTCTTGCTGATTTCTTCCCAACCCTCACCCCACCCTTCTCCTTAACTGCCCGCCCTACCTAGTTTATTCATTTCACTAGATGTTTTGGGATTGTTAGCTTCATTTTCTCTTTCTAGAATGCCTTTGAGAATTTTCTGTAGTACTGGCATGGTGGTCTTGAATTTCTTAAGGGTTCTTTGTCTTGGTAAGTACTTGCTTCTCCATCAGTTTTGAAAGATAGTTTTACAGGATATATTAGTCTGGGTTGGAAGTTGTTTTCTTTTTTCTTTTTATTTATTTTTTGTTTGTTTTGGTTTGGTTTGGTTTTGGTTTTATTTTTTGGTAGTTTT